TGTCGATCTCTCGAGAAATGTTTACTTTAGATTATACAACTTTAATTAACTTAATTCAAACAATAAAAATAAACACACACAATTAAAAATATAATTTTAAATAAGGAAATTAACTAAAAACCTACAAATAAGAAAATATAAAAATCTTAGAAATTTCGGAAGCAAATGTAGTTGGGATTCATGGTTTCATTTAACTGTTACCTAATTAATTTTTCCATGAGTTAATTAACGAATTAATCATTTACTATGTGAGGCCCGATTTTTCAATTTTAGTCAATTACCTCTCTCGAGCGAAATTAACCATAATTGATTGGTTTAACCTACTATATCTCTATGTCGATTAAAACCAAACAATCGCATTAAATATTTGAGAAAATAACTCAATGGGTCGTCTAGGAATAGGAGTATATCCTATCCCCTACACAAACCCAGAGTTTCTACTATTTAGTCTAAAATGCACAATATTTTCTCGAACGGTGTACAAGTCACTAGACACAATTATTCATTTGCTACATAAATGAAAATGAAATAAATACAATAGTAGAAACACATGAAAATAAATAACTTAAATTAAGGAGCAAATTTCAAAATTAATTAAAACTAGGTAAAATTAATACCATAAATTCTAACACAATCAATTAGCCCATTTTATACAAATGATTAAAAGGAGAATATTACATACAATACATTACAAATATGACAGAATAAATAAGAAAATGAAATTTATAGATAAAACCCTTTTTGAAGCTTGACTATGAGTTTTCCAAATATTTTTCCAAATCTTTAGATGTATTCTCTTTTGTGCTCTTGATTTTACTTCCAAAATGCCAATAAAATTTAAAGGAAGAAAAAGAAATGAAAAAGGAAGAAAGAAAAAGAAAAGAAAAAAAAATAAAAGAAACAGCAAAACCTGCAGAAGAAGCGGAATGAAGATTACCGACCCAATTGCTGGTTTTAATTATAAAACTAGCAAAATTGCAGCCATGGTCCCTGAAGTTTTGAAAAATAAACAAAATGGTCCCAGACCCTTTTTTATTATAAAAAAATGCACCTAGGCACCGGAACAATGGCGTTTAGGCGCTCGGTTTCTGTTTTCAATGCAAAAAATAAATAAAAAATTGTCATTTTGCAGTCAAGTCTTTGAGATAATTGCATGCTAAGTCTCTCAACTTCGATTTTCTACAATTTGGTCCCCAGATTTTGATTTTTATATCAATTTTGCCCTCCATAATTTGCACTCCAAAGTCCTTAAATTTTGGCACTTGTGCACTTCGATCCCCAACTTCACAAATTTTTTATGCTTTTGGTCCTTTTTCCTTCATTTTTACCTTGTTCACTTTCAATGGGTAATTTTTGGCCTAGAAGAAAATATTACATAATTGTGAGTAGAATTCGCTCATTTGATCAATATTTAGGCTTATTTTAGGTATAAAATAAGTGTGCAAAAACACACTTATCATGGAACAGCAAGCCAATCCTTGTTGATAAAGCTAAGTATGCATCTGCCTCATAAATCCCCGATGTCCTCTTTGAATAATTTGTAAGCCTCATCAAGGGTTTTAGTGGACAGTGACCTGTTAGTTGAAGAGTCAACAATGCTTTTGAAATTCAAAAGTAGTCCCGCATAGAAGTACTGTGTCTGGAGTCCCTTATTGATCTTTTAAATCTATTCCAGGCTTCATAAAAAAACTCAGATTCACCTTGACGGAAGACAGATATGTCATGCTTGAGCTTCGCAATCTTGGTGTGCGGGAAGAACATGGTATAGAATTTCTGTGCCAGATCATTCCATGTAGTAATCCTGGCAATCGGTTTGGAGTGGAGCCATTCAATTGCCTTATCCCACAGTGTATGTGGAAACAACCTCAATCTGATTGTGTCGTATGAGATACCTTGATACCTGAATTGTTAACACATCTCCACGAACCGAGAGACGCACATATGTGGGTTCTTCTCAGCTCTACATAAAATAAGTGTCCATTCTGAAACAGCTGTATCACGTTTGTTTTAGTTGGAAGTTGGGCTATCCAAACGGTGGGTAGACTATGCTGGATTGGCTTTGAATTATCTGAGGAGTTAGGAAATCTCCTATGAGCATATTGTCTTCGTCCACCGTCCCTTCTTCATTGGCTTGAAAGATGGGATTGTTCTGCACATTAGCCATTGGTTCCTATTGTTGTTGATGTGCGTCTCTGTTCTCTCATTGCAATTGATGAAAGGTCCGCTCAATTTTCAGATCTGCTAGAATCAATTCTCCTCCAGTCAATCTTGACATGTAACTTTTCGAGAAAACCAATAGTAGCACTTCGATTTAAACAAATTGAATAACTAAACAAAATAAAATAAAATAACCTAAAATGGAAAATTAAAAAAATTAAAAATTAAATTTTGAATTAGTGCCTAGAAAAATAAAATCAACTTAATACTCAATCTCCGACAATGGCGCCAAAAACTTGATCACGAAATTATTCTTTTGATTCAATCCACCGCAAGTATACGGTTCGTGACAAGTGTTACAGTGAAAAATTGAGTCCCAATGGCATCCCACAGAGATTGATTTAGTTCAATATTATTTATTTAGACCTTAATCGAAACTAAATTATCGTAAGTGCTCTTACAACCTAATTACTCTTTAACATAAGCTAATTATGCATGCAATGAACAAAATGCAAATTGATTTTTGAATGAACTAACATGTTATTAAATATTGAGAACGCAATTTAATGTATTCAGTGATTGTATAACGCACTAGGATCGTGAATCCCCAAGTAATGTTCAATTTAAACCTAAGTTCACAAATTAACAACACGATAAAATTTTGAAGAATCAATGCTCCTAAATATATCCATCACTCTCTCTTGAGCAACGTTGAACCTATTCTCATATACCACAAGTCTATATCTCTATGACGGATTCAAATATACAAGAACACATGTAATTTTGTGAGCACTTAGAGATTTACGTAGGACATAGCTGTATATCTCTATCCTCTTTCAAACCCTACAATATTTATACCGTGTCGAACCTATTTCCCTTCTCTCGAATACAAGAAACAAGTCATCGAAACTCATACGAGCCCTTGATTGCAGAAGAAATTAAATGCATATACACCATTCAAAATAATCAAACGTGATTTAATGTCAAAAATATGAAATAAGGAATTAAGAATCACATTACAATGTTCATCGATCTCCTAGGATATAAATTTGTAGCCTAACATGGAGAAAGTAACAGAATACATGATATTTGAAAGAAATAATATCACTGGATAAATAAATCTAGTAAAAGTCTGTTGATCTCGGTGAAATCCTTCGTTGTTGTGGCTCCAAATTTGCTCCAAGCTGTATTTTCTCCCTTCCTAATGCATTCTCCCTTTATTTTCACGGCTTTAGGGTTTATATGTCGTGTCCCGTATTGGTTTCACAAGAATTTTAATGAGAATAAAAAACTGTAAATTCACCCCCAGAAAATCAACTATGCGACTGCATAGTGAAATCAAATTCAACCTTGGAAATCCCTGTTGTAGTGGATGCGGCCGCATGTATTTCTCTACTATGCGGTCGCATAGTAGAGTGATCTTTCACTTTTGACCATTTTAGTCCCCAAAACTTGTTTTCTTCCCCATGATTGTATATTAATTTTGAAAACTATGTTGTTGTTAAAGAAACAATTCAAATTTTTCCCCCTAAGGGTCTGTTTGATTGTAAAGATGGAATTGAATTGTTTAGAAAATGAATTTCAAGGAATTGAATTGCCTAGAATTGTTTTCCTGAGAATTGTAAATTATTGTGTTTGATTGGTATAATTTTTCACGTGAAAAATGTTGAAATAAAAGTATTGTTTGATGTTCGTTTGATTTTATTTTACATGAAAATTTTCAATTAAAGGGATAAATTTTACTGGTATTGGGGATTAAATTTGTTTCCATTGCCAAAAAAAAAAACAAAAATTTCAAGACAATCATCTATTTTTGGTGTTCGTTTGGCTTTGTTTTACCTGAAAATTGTCATTTAAAGGGAAATATTTTTTACAATAATTCTTAGAATTTGTTTCCATTGCAAAAAAATAAAAATAAATAATAATAATAATAATAATAATAATAATAATAATAATAATAAAATGCTACAGTAGGTAGGAAAACCAATTTCCCACCATAAAAACCAAGAAAAGTACAAACTTCAAGACAATCAAAAATTCGAATTTCATGGAAAAAAATGTATCAAACACCTAAAGTTGGAAAATCCAATTCCAATTCCATTTCCACCCTATCAAACACACCTTAATTTTTTCTTTCAAAATCTATAATTTCATGATATGGACATAATTATGGTTAGTTCTAGATATTATTTAACCAATGTTACATTTGATCTAAAGTAATTCTACAAATAGAATTACTAATTAATTAATGCTAATCACTAAAGAGAGAGAAAAATATACTTCATGAACTAATCTTTTAGTTTTACTTAAATTTTAATGATCTGAAGTGAAGTTTGCTAAAGAATGACCTATTATATATGAGTAATATCACTTGGACATCATTGTGAAAATAATGATGCATATAGATAACATGGAAGAGAGATAATCTAATAATAATTGGCTTTTTTTTCTTTTCGTTTCCCTTTTATCTTTTATTTTTCTCTATCTTTCAAGTCATCTACCTATATTTATTTATAAACCATTATATAAATAATGATTTGCAAATAACAACACTCAATATATAATGCAACTTACTAAATGGGGTCAAAATATAGCTCCTGCTTGGTTCCCTTTTTTTGAAATATAAATGGATGAAATAGTATTTTTTAAAAAAATATATAGTTGAAAGGAAGGAAGTATTTTCGATTTACGTATAATGTTATTTTATAAAAAATTGTGTGATTGAAAATAGGAAGAAAAAAAAAAAAAGAAATTTAACAGAGGCCAAAACCGACATAGTTTAAGAACCCATTTTGAAATTTTAGTTTGAGGGATCATTTAACTCCATGATAAAAAAAACGCGCATTCAACGGAGACCCCACTGTGCTCATTTCATCTTTTTCCCAACTGGTAAAACACATAATCATTATCGTAAATTCGTAATTCTATTTCCGTTTGCATTTCATTTTCCTCGTTGACCGGTGGACACCCTTCTTAGCCGCTACTCCGTACTAGGGTTTGGTTTCTCTTATTTTTAATTTTCGGTAGTGTTTATTTCCATTTTTACTCTACCTTGCAAGCTATTAATGATCTTCTCCATGTTCTGGCAAAAAATTGTGGAATTCAAAGGGTTTTCAAGGTTTAAGGGGAGATAAGACGGGTACTTGGTATTTTGGTGGGAGGACTTTTTTATTTTTATTTTTTCATTTTGAAAATTTGCGGTCGTGACTGTGTACTGTCTTGAATTTTGATTACTGCTTCAGCTTTGGAATGATTTGAAAGAGTGATGGCGTGTTCATTTGAAGATCTGGAACTGGTTTACATCTAGTGGGATATTTTATTTTCGTTTTTATTCCACCTTGCTAGTTAGTATTTTTCTTCTCAGTGTTTTGGGAATAAGAAACAGTGTAAATTTGTGAAATTCGAAATTATTTCAAGGTTTAAAGGAAAAAAGATACAGTCTTGATTCTGTGTTATCTTGAAGTTTTGATTGTTCGCTTTATCTTTGTAATGATTTGAAAGATAGGTGGCCATGTTCATTTGAAGATCTAGAACCGTTTTAAATCTAGTGGGATATTTTATTCAGGAAGAATTGAGCTTTTGCATTGTTGAAGTATAGTTGTTGACTTGAAAAGGGAAAATGGATAATTCAAATCTGCCTGGGCAGATGAATAGACAGATTGATCATTTGGGTGTGAACAAGATGGGAAAAAACATTAAGAAGAGTCCTTTACACCAGCCCAATTTTTCTGGCCCTGCTAGGCAACAGCCTCAACCCCAAGTCTACAATATTAACAAGAATGATTTCCGTAATATAGTTCAGCAGCTCACTGGATCTCCTTCTCAAGAACCGCCATCTAGACCTCTCCAAAACCCTCCAAAACCTGCAAGTAACCGATTACAGAGAATTCGCCCTCCGCCTTTGGCACCAATGAATCAACCTCAAATCCCGATTCATCCTTCTATGCCAATGCCTGCATCAGCACACCCTGTACGGGAGCTTCCTAACAACTTTGCAAGACCTCCTCCCCCTCCAGCCCATTATGGCCAACCTTCACCACCTGTGTTCCCACCAACTCCTACTGATGTTTGGGCAAATACAGCTGAGTCTCCTTTATCAGCTTATATGCGCTACCTGCAAAATTCGATCATCGATCCAGGTTTCCGACAACCCCAGCCTCATTATCAACCTCACTTGCAACCTCATGTTCCTGGTCAAAATCTAGCTCGGCCAGCGGGTTCTGGTTTGCTTCCTAATCCTACCATGCAACCGTTCCCATCTCCAAGAATGAATGGTCATCCAATCCCTCTTCCGTCACCTCGCATGAATGGCCCCTTGCCCCATCTTCCTTCCCCTAGGATGAATGGCCCTCCTCCCCTTTTACCCTCTCCTACTTCTCAGTTCCTTTTACCTTCACCTACTGGCTATTTGAATTTATTGTCTCCTCGATCACCTTATCCATTGCTTTCTCCAGGGTATCAGCATCCTCCTCCTCTGACTCCTAATTTCTCATTTTCTTCCGTGCCCCAATCTGGAATTTTAGGTCCTGGACCCCAGCTACCTCCTTCTCCTGGTTATGGATTTCCTTTGTCACCTTCAGGGTTTTTCCCTCAACTAAGTCCTAGATGGAGGGATGAATATTCTTAAAAGCACAAGCTACTGACTCGCAAGGGATACAAATACTGTCATTTTTTATGACTTTCTTCATGTTGAGTCATTTCTTCTGTATCATAGCTTCTCCTATGGATTTGAATGTACACCGAGATGCAACGGTTCATCGTGGAAGTATGTAGTCTTCGTGTTTGCTGTTGTTTTTCTTGTTTATACAGGCGCCTTCTGAGATGTGGATTCTGTAACAGCTGCAATCTGTTTTTATCTGCCCAAAATGATTTACATCAGGTGATATTCTGAAGATTGGACCACTTCTGCATACACATGGGCGGCTGCAGCATGTAAGCAGGTAGTATTATAGTCTTTGCAGATTCATGTAGGCCATCTGATGAAAAAGTAGTTTTGCATTTTTGTAATATTGTTCATCTTACAGTTAGTCTGAATTGAGATTCTTAGTGACTTTATAAGAGCATAAAAGTTCTCACTTTTCTGTTAAATCATTTTGCTTTTGCACTTGTATTTTCATATACAATCATCTATGTATTTTTTTTTCCTTGGTAAGCTGTGAATTTTTTGGGCTTATTGATAATTTGTCTTTCTGAGCAATTCTTGTGGTGGTAACAACTGCTATTGCAATTAAAATTAAATAAGTTTGTCTCGGATGGATGTGTGGATGAGATGGATGTTAAAAATAGTTTATTTTTAGCATTTTACTTGTTGATATGTATATTCATATTTTTATTCAATTTAGAAAAATGTACTACCACTTCGGCAGTAGAATTGTTGTTTGGCTTATGTGTTTCATTTACAAGGGTTGTCAGAAAACATTTGACAATTCTTGTCGTCTATGACAGCAACCTCTGGAGGCACTTGTCCCTTTAGATTTAGCTTGGCAAATTTATAAATGGTTTATAAAGAGAAATAATATGGGTCTACTACATATGTGGATAATAAATGATTGGTAGTACTTAATGTGTTGGTGAAGTTAACATTTAACGTTGACTGAACTTATAACCTACTTGTAAATTGGCTTGCCAAACAGAGGTTTAGCCCTTGTTTGATTCCCATTCTTTTATTGTTAAAATGAAAAATATAACCGTTATCCATCACATCAAGCCACCAAATTTGAATTTTTATTTCTTGTGTGGG